GACTGAGGTTGTTAAGTTCTTACAGGGTTCCCACGAGTCCTTGAAATCCTTGAAAGTTTGTGAATTTGAAAAAATTATTTCAAGGCCCTGGAAAGTTTGTGAAAACAGCCAAAAATTACACTTGTCCTTGAAAGTCCTTGAATGTTCTTTGGGGATTGAAATTCTCTATTCACATGACTGATTTTCATCATCTTTTAAAAAAATTAAATATGAAATTAAATAAAAAAAACTTACATTTGTTGCGGTAGATAACTCAGGATTTCGGTAAACGGACGTCATGYTGTTCAGTTTTTCATTGAATTTACATAATATTAAACCTGTTTATTTGTAACATTCTGCGGAAGCAGTAGGTAACTGCCGTTGCGCGTGGTTCTTTAATTTGAGGAAACTGGTACTGGAAAGTCCTTGAAAGGTCCTTGAATTTGATGTTGACCAAGGTGTGGGAACCCTGTTCTTATTTCCTCCAACCCTGTTYTGTTTGCTGACAGATGACGCAGCGTTTTTGGAGCGCACTCCATCGTCTTCTTCGGGCGGAGAAGGTGACGGAGGCGGCGGAGACGCGGCGCGGGTTTCCTCAGCTCCCCTGACCCCAGCCCTGGCACCGAGCCTCACTCCGGCCTCCCAGCCCACCATCTCCCTGCTGTCGGACAGCAACGCAGACTCCCTGAGCGTAGAGTCGCTCACGCTGCTGCCTCCTGCCGACTCGCCCCACCTGCACCCCCTTCAAAGACCGAATGCCTGCCTCGTGGACGAGGAGGAAGGTTTTAGAAAAAGAGACGAGGAGGAGGGGTCACCGCTGAATGAAACAGACACAACAGTTAAAGATGAAACCACTGAAACGACTGAGTTGGTCACACCCACTGATGACATGTCGGAGGCAGACAAGCTGGAAGGTGAGGATGCTCTTGTTGACAGCATGACGGCAACAGAGAAGACTGAAGATGAAGAAATACACACTGAAACACCCGAGTCACCTGAACTGGATTAAGGAACCCGCACAACTGATTTAACACACACACATGCACACACACGCACTCGCACAGTGCAGTTCAGTGTGAAGTGTAGACTGTCCTGCTCAGCTGCTGTATATTTTCATAGATGGTTTGTGACATAAATAACCTTAAGAGGTCTGAAGGCATCTCATCACTTGTGTTTGCACATGAAGAAAGTCACTCTGTGCTCAGAAAACAAAGGAAGAATTCTGATCAAACAGCAGCAGAACTCAAAGCACATTTGTGTTTTCTGAACACATCCGAGTGTCGAGTTGTGTTTTTTTTTTGTTTTTTGTTTTGTTTTTTGCCACACAAACGTCAACCAGCAGACTTTCTACTCCTTCTGGTTGTGTATAAGCTCGTACACGCACACACCTTCACACCACATACCAATGCTGCGACTGCTTATCAAGGCATTTTTCACATGTGCTCACTAAACATGATTTACAGAAAACGATGAGTCGCTCCTGCCTTTTCACCGTTCTGTGTCTCATCTGTGAACAGCTGGTTTCCTCTTCTGATCCGAATTTATTTATTTTTAATCCACATGGAGGGAAAAAAACATCTTAGTTTCCCTCTGAGTACTGYGTTGTGAGCTCATTGATTTATTGTGATGTCGGACTCCTCTGCTGCCGAACATGTGGATGAACTGATCAGATACATGTGACGTGTGTGAAGGCAAATTTTTAAATGTGACAGTCAGCTGAGGGGTGTGCCGTGTTGAATTATGCAACAGCAACCACAAAACCTGATTGTTTTGTTTTTTTTTATCACTGGCATTCATTTCAACTTCATAGTCCAAAGCAACAATTATAATCTGCTCGTTCATAAAGAAGAATCAATAATTGTAAGCGTTACTAACAGGACGAATGAATGATCGCAGAACAGCTGCTGCACTTCATTTTATTCATTAATGCTGTCGAGCTGCACAAGTTACCAATTGAATAATTTACCCAGTAGTTATATAATTTCATTCTTGTTCTTTATGGAAGTGGATTTAAAAATGAACATATTTGACATCAGAATGAACTTAYTTTCTAAAAGTGATTAGCGCGATGCTGAGGGGCACAAAGATTAGGGGCCTTCTGGGTCCATTGAACCCTAAAGTTGTTATCCAAGGAGGGCTCAAAGTTTGAGTTAAAAGCTGAACTTCAAGAAATCAAATGTTCAAAAACCAAATACCTGACTTCAGATTAAAGTAGCAAACTCATCCTTAACCTCCTGCTTTATTTAAACCAACAAAGCCATAATGCAGTAATGGTTGGAAGGTAATGGCTTAATGAAAATTAATGATAGCCTTTCTCTCCACAGTGTTTGTTTAAATTCACAGCTTGTTTTGTGCGTTTAAGGAACAAAGCATGTTTAATAATTCAATTTGCTTCCCAACTCAGACCTTTTTTTCCCATCCATTCTTGATTCTCTTTCACACTTATTTTCTGACTCTTCTCAGTCCTCAACAAGTTTGAGAAATTCAGAGCAATACTCTCTTTTACGAGTCTCACTGTTTCCACCTGGCTACTGTAAATACCAGCAGAATGATGGTGATGCTCACTGACACGCTGAAGAGGCTTGGTTTTGCACAGGCTGTTGGGAACATGTCTTCGTGTTCCTGCACTCTCTGGAACCTACCAAAACAAACCACGAGCCTCCATTCTTATCTGATTGTAGTGTGTGTATGTGAAATCTTTGTATGCTCTGTAAATGCCTTGTGCTTTTAAACTTGTAAGTATTGTTAATGAACTAAAACAGAGGATTAAAGAAATAACTGCAATAAATTATTCTACTTAACAGCTGCTACGCAGTCTTGTTTTTCTGTTTGCAGTGAGGCTGATTTGTTCTCCGTTTCCTCACAAACTCCTACAAAACAAAGTGCTTCRAYTTTGTGTAACATGCACAAAAGTTGTTAAACTGCAATGGCACAACCTGCTTTAAAGTCAAAGAGAAGTGTGTACACCGCAGCCCTGCAACGCATCTGAAGAATATTTTTGCTCGTGTGAGGGTTCGGGTCATGACGTGGTTTCTACCTGCTTGTGGCTGCTGCTGGGGCCCGATGTCATCTTGTGGTCTGTACGTGTCACTTTTATCGCGGTTCCTCTCTTCAGGGAAGTCTGGTTGTGTGTGCGTAAACGTAAATGGGTTCCTGGTACTGAAGCGATACAGTGTGTCTGTGTACCAAACAACACTCATAGCATTAATACAATGTTTTTCATTGCAGAGATCCCATACAGATTTGGCTTTTGTGTGTGTGTGTGTGTTTGTACTTTTTAAGTCATCTTGTTCATCTTTGTCTTCACGTGTCAGCCCTGAAATGCAGTTTTTAATTTTTATTATTATTATTATTACTACGGAGCAAAGGTCACAAATATATTTGATTTGAAATTATGTTTGAGCACATTGTCACTGTATAAAAATGTTTATTTTTTTATAAGTTTGGGGCTAAGATTTAACAAAAATCTTCAACCAAGTTTTTTTTAAAGTAACTAAAGTCTGAAAATGCAATGGATGCCCTTCAAATCCTTACATTTCTATCTTCAGATAGCTGCTTCTTTTAAAGTAATCGCTGCTTTTAGTAAACACAGAGGACAAGATCAAAATATATCCAAAAGCTTGCTACTTCCTATCATAACATGTTAGCTAGCTTATAAGTTTCCCTTTCAGCTTTAAAGGTCACAGTGTGAAGTAGCTGAAACTATGAGCTGTCAAGATGTTTTAATAACTTTTGTGTCAAAATTCTGTATGTCTCAAGATATACCTCCATAGCTACTGTAGTCATTTTTTTACACCTCTTTGGAGCGTTTGTGCAGACACTTATTCTTCCTGTTTCCACCCACCATTAGTGTTTGTGGTGAGCTAAAAACTTAATGGTATTGCTCAAGTTTTTCTTTSAGGCCAGTACACCTGGACAAAACGAGGCCAAAGGAGCAGAAGTAGCCCTTGAGATGTCTATGGCTCAACACAGACCTGTTTCCCAACAGATGTTTGGATGTAAAATGGCTAAATAAAAAAAAAAAAATAAAAAAAGCACAGGTGTGTTAACTATGTTGCCAATTTAGCAGCTAAGCAAGTTTTCAGACCTTTAAAAAAAAAAACATGTCACTAGCGACAAAGCTAACGACTTCTGGTAATAAAGATGACTTTTCCAAATGAACGTGAAGCAAGTATTGTTTCCACTGAGGAGTGGTTCATACTGTTAGCCCCCTCTTCCGTCCCAAAGCAMAGTTAAGAAAACAGCATCCAGACTACTAATGAATCGTACGTGTCGTGAGCAAAAGAAATAAAATTTATATTAACTCAGTAAGCCCTCATTAACATTCAGCAACTGCTAGACTTTTAAGACAACCAATGGCTACTTTCCTTATTGAGTAGTTTGTAACACTGGATGCATTTCACGTTTCAGCTTCATTCTGTTAAAAAATTAAATTAACTCATGAAACTGTTTCTAAATGGAATGTAGCTCTCATTAGTACACCAGCACTTTCTCAAACATTTCCAGTCAAAATGTCTACTTGAAGTTTGTCCGTTTATATAAAAATAAATTTGCTTAAAATAAACTACCAAAACTCTGATATTAACAACTCTTAGGAAACTAGGTCTGTACTGCTCTTATGCCAGTTTGGAATGTTGATTCAATTAATGAACAAATAGACAAAATCGTTTGTGATCATGTTTGCAGATGATGTGATGTTTGTGCAGTTGGCATTCTGTGCTCATGTTTTTACAGTCATATGAAAAAGTTTGGGCACCCTTGTTAATTTTCCTGATTTACCTTTTATAAATCATTGATTGTTTGGATAAAAAAATCAGTTAAGTATATCATATAGGGGACAAACACAGTGATATTTGAGAAGTGAAATGCAGTTGATATGATTTACAGAAAGTGTGCATTAATTGGTTGAACAAAATTAGGCAGGTGCACAAATTTGGGAACCAAAAAAAAAACCTTAACTCAGTATTTAGTAGATTCTCCTTTCACAGAAATAACAGCCTCTAAACACTTCCTACAGCTTCTAATGAGAGGCTGGATTGTGGCTGAAGGTATTTTAGACCATTCTTCTTTACAAAACATCTCTAGTTCATTCAGGTTTGATGGTTTCTGAGCATGGACAGCTCTCTTTAAGTGACACCACAGATTTTCAATAATATTCAGGTCTGGGGACTGAGATGGCCATTCCAGATCGTTGTACTTGTTCCTCTGCATGAAGGTCTTAGTAGATTTTGAGCAGTGTTTAGGGTGGTTGTTTTGTTGGAAGATGCAGCCCCGGCTTCAGCAGCTCCAGCTTTGTCACTGATTCCTGGACATTGGTCTCCAGAATCTGCTGATATTGATTGGAATCCATGCGTCCCAACATTCCCAGTCCCTGTACTGGCCACACAGGCCCACAGCATGATGGAACCACCACCAAATATTACTGTAGGTAGCAGGTGTTTTTCTTGGAGTGCTGTGTTCTTTTTCCTCTATAAATAACAGACCTTGTTCTGCCCAAATAACTCTATTTAAGTTTCATCAGTCCAGAGCACCTTATTCCAAAATGAAGCTGGCTTGTCCAAATGTGCTTTAGCATACCTCAAGCAGCTCTGTTTGTGATGTGGGTGGAGAAAAGTCTTCCTCTGCATCACTCTCCCATACAACATCTCCTTGTGTAAAGTGTGCTGAATAGTTGAACGATGCACAGTGACTCCATCAGCAGCAAGATGATATTGTAGGTCTTTGGTGCTGGTCTGTGGGTTGACTCCGACTGTTCTCAACATCCTTCACTTCTGTTTATTCCAGATTTTACTTTGTCTGCCACTTCCAGCCTTGACTTGAACTGTGTCTGGTCCTCCATTTTCTCACAATGTTTCTCACAGTGAAGACTGAAAGCTGAAAACTCTGAGATAGCTTTCTGTATCCTTCCCCTAAACCATGATGGTGAACAATCTTTTGTTTTCAACTCATTTGAAAGTTGTTTTGAGACTCCCATGCTGTGACTCTTCAGAGAAGATGCAAAGAGGAGAAAAACCTACAATTGCCTCCCTTAAATGCCCTTTCTCATAATTGGAGTCACCTGTGTATGGAGGTCAAGGGTCACTGAACTTA